AAGCACGGTTTTAAACTTGTTAAAAAACACTGCTGCGCCGTCATTCTTGTCCACGTGGCCAGCATGCTGCTTTGCAATTTTTTCACGAAAACACATTTTTTATTGACGTAACATTTGATTTGTCCGTGCGAATCAGCTTTCCTATCATCGTACCGGTATATGAATTTTCACAGCGATTGGAAACGGCATGCAGCTCCCAGAAATTTGAGGTTTTTGTAAATTCCATTAAAAAAATTGTGAAAACTTTCAGAACCATCTTTCTAAAAGTGTGTCTGTGATTATTGTCCTTCCCCATCAAAAACCACTACAGTCCTATTATCGCGGTACTTATCACGTCTCTCGTTCGGAATAGAGATTGCCCACTATTACCTTCCCGAATTGTCCTGTCTTTTGTGTTGTATAACTCTTCCTTTTCAAGTTGATATTAACAAATCCGACGGTGGTGTGGTTTATTCCATGTACGATGTCTGTGAAAATAGACATGCTTGGAGTGTGGGAACGGAGGTGGACTCCCTATTATTGCAGTATGCGGGAAGTGGTTTTTATAATGATCTCAACTTTTTTATTCATAGTTAATGTTTAACTAAAACATGAATAAAGTCTGATATTTTCCCTGTAACGTTCAAGTTGATTAAAGACTATATGTCTGCAGGATGATTTCTCAAGACCCTGCCCCTTCCCCCGAAAGGAGAACACAAATCACTGAGGCAAGTCTACTGATTGGCGATTGTGGGCGCCATTCACTTTACACGGTGTGCCGTTTTATTTTTGTTAATGCGCTGTGCTTATTTTGATCCCGTTAAAGTTTTTACGATTTTGCGGTGCAAATATCGTCCTTCGGCTTCATTTTACATTTGCAGCTGAAAAATGGGAACCAGACAGAACTTTCATGGACAGAGCACCATTAAAGATTTATGTTAAAATATAGACGGTACCTTTTAGCAGACACGGTGAGGGAAAATTTGCAAGTTTTGGAAAAAATTAGTATTTATTAAAAATCGTTAAAAGTCCAAAAAGACACAACATTTTTTAATCGTCCTTTTTATACAACTTTGCCATTTTTTATACAACTTCGCCATAAAAATCGCCACTTGAAGGAGTTTTGGCAACGCAAAATGAGAAATTTCCCATGCCGCGATAATAGGGATGCCGCGATAATAGGGAGTCCGACTATACTTGTACTTGTAGATGAGCACGTGCTGACTGTACTGAAAAATCAGGGGTCTCGGGGTAAAAACGCCCAGTACATTTCTCGACATTAAACTCTATTGCAGCCTCATTTATCATCAAAAACCTCACTATTAGAACTTTCTACAGCCATATGTTTCTTGTATTGTATTAGCTATTAGAGTCCTACCACATAAATATTGAACAGTGTATTGTGTGAAGTGGGGAGGTACATGCAGGCGGTATCACTAACTGACGTTACGTAGGGGCAAGGTATCTGGCATTTGGTAGGGAATGCCCGAGAAACCATGAGCTCATGGCATTTTCTCAAGAAAAAACAAAATAACACCTTTATGGTGATTTGAGTATACTTTTAATAACTAAAAATGACTAGAAATGGTTCTAAGACCCAACTAGACCGGTTTCTGCTCTCATGCTATACTAGCAGAGCTTCATCAGTAGTAAGCCAATATCGGTATTTTATATTCGGCTAAAGTCGTGTCAAATGTTACAGTGCATAGATACCGGTAAGTGCATTTAATATAATTTTGTGTCAATCTCGTGATGAGTACAATTCCCGGTTAACGATAAACATTGACTTGACAAGTAAACCTTTCAGACTTTTGGCCTTTTTATAGGCAGGAATTGGTTCGCTGAGATTGCATAATTTTGGGTGTTCCGAAATTAAATACCAGTCTTTCAGCAATGCTTTTGTTAGCTGCTTGGTTTTGATGTGTGGTGTGTAGATTATCTTGAAGACTAGAGGTGGTTGTTTTGGTCGTGTTTCATTCATGATTGCTCACAGTTTTCAAATTTTACGTCTTTTATGACTGGCAATTTCCTCTTTCTTGTGGTTACAGAGTAGAAGATTCTCCATGATTGCATTTCTTTGCTCTAAGAAATCGGTCTCATTGTTACAGAGATGTGCATATCTTAGTAGTTCTCCTTTGATAAAGCCTTACCGGTAGGTTATCAGCAGTAGGCTAGAAACATACTATGGTATGCCTAATAAAATTGACTATGCTTTGGCTCAACATGATTGAAATAGATTTTTCAATATTGGCAGGCATTATACATTAATACAAGTTTGTTATGGGCGAATTATGTACGCTAATGTTCCGCTTCCTTCCACATAAAAATACCTGTTTTAAATGATCAAGTTTGTAGTTATAATTAACCAGCTGTGTTTGAAAAGTTATTTGTACTTGATGAAGTATCCCTCAATATTAAATTAATCACAAAAATATGACTATACTACAGGGAAACCTGTGGTATATCCATTTTTTAAAAATAAATGTGGGTGGGCGTTTTTTCCCCGAGGCCCCGGGTAAAAACGCCCGCCAAACTTCCTCCCGAAAAGGGGGGAAAATTTCCCCTTATCAATATAATGACCATGATTTTATATTTGCACCTGATAGAGGAGACATGTATTGCATAAAACCACATATTTATTTCCTAGTGTCTCCAAGTAGTATGGAGATATTTAACAAAAACCTAAAAATCGGGCGTTTTTAACCCTACCGTCCACCGCCTGCATGTGCCGAAAGGTGCCGCCGAAATTTTTCATTATTTACAAAAAAAATTATTATTTACCCAGAATATATTAATCCGCCACAACAGTTTACTTCTAATGAAAGCCCGATACTGATTGGCTGCTAAAAAAAATAAATAAGATGTTTATTTTTTTCAGCCAATCAGCATCGAGCTTTCATTGCATCGAGCTTTCACGTTAGCCATCTTGGTTTTTGAGTCTGTTTTCTGGTTGTCACCATCGTCTTTAACCCTATAATTTCCCTCATAAATCAAAGCCCTGCCCTCTTTCCACAAAATTAAACCTGCTGATATTCAAGGTGTCATTGCCAATTGTTCAGATGTGCCAAGAAGTATCAGAATGTCAATTTTGAGTGTCATTTAGTCAACTGTTTTGGTGAGTCTTTCCCTTCCTATAAAGGAACGGGGTCCTAAAAGTCAGGATTACCTGAATAGCGAATAATGAAAAAAAAACGCAGTGGCTATCATTACAGCAGCTGTAACGCATTTCCCATTTTCTATCGTTACGGTAGTACTGAAACTTTTATAAAAACATGAGAAGAAAATATAAAATTAGAAGGAAAAAAGTGAATTTGAACGTTATGAAATTCGGACTTTATTTCCCTTTTACAAAAAATCCTCCAAAGCCTCAGGTTAGAAAAGGAAAACAATTCGAGTGCAAAACTGAGATGCGAACCCGCAACCTCGCGGTGCAAAATCCTACCCTCTATCGACTGAGCTGTCGCACTGCTCGCTAAAACGTGGGCAAACAAATAATTATATACCTGCGTGCTATCAAAAAAGTATCGTAGAGGGTGCTAAACAATGGCTGCCGTAACAATAGCCACTTCGGAAAAAAAAGCCTCATTGTTTTTCAAAATCAGCAGGACGGTATTCTATGACTTTCATTCCCTCGGCCTTATTCTAAGAAATTAAGGGAAAAGTTCCGTACTCGGACGTCAATTTATCTGCTGCCAAACATATTAATTGTCACCTCACCTTGTCATTTGAACCAAGAGAAATCCAGGAAGCTGTGTAAAGGTGAAAAAAATTTACTCAAAATGTGTTTTTAGAGCACATTTTGGATGCATACGTCGTGCAGAACTTGAAGCATGCTTGAAGCAGCTGGTCAAAACTGATTGTAGTGGCTGAAAGACAGCGGTACGTTATACACGTGACATCAACAACCATGATGTCGCATGAGCCTGCCAATGATAGTGCAATACGTCATTATGAATATTTATTTTCTCATGAATATTTAGTTTATTTCAATGGATACTTCAAATACGTCCAAAGATTGATTATTGCAACAGCGATCGTGCACGGCCTGGCGGTTAAGAGTCTCGTGTATCAAGCAAGCGTCAGAGGTTTGAATCCCGATGAAGTAACTGACTGATTAATAAATACAAAATTAAGGAAAGGAGAGGGTGAGAGTAGAGGAGGGAAAGTGGAGGAATAACCATAAAAGATGTAACTTTTGGCGCTAGAAAAATAATTGAAAAAAGGCAGTGTACATTTTGCCGGAGACGGCAAACCTTTAGTAAACGTTAGTTTGCCGGATATGCACTGAACATGCGCTTACTGTTTTTTTGTACTTTAACATTTTCCGGGTGACAAGTTTTAGTCTGGCTCCATGCCAAAATTATCGTTGTTACCTCATATTCACAAGATGGGATTCAGACCATTTTATAATTTCGGACTTTATTTCCCTTTTAAAAAAATCCTCCAGAGCCACAAATCTGAAAAAGAAAATGTAATACTCTCCAAAAATGTTTGAGACATGTTAAAATAATAAAAGAAGAATATTCTTATTTATTTGGGGATGAGAAAAAAAAACTTAAAAATGTGGTGCGGTCGGATTCGAACGCGAGTCATCCCGCTTACAAGAGCCTTTGCTTAACCATTACACCAAACGTGCTACACAACTTCTGGTGGGAATTTAATACATCTTATAATTCAGCCCTATTTTATAGAGTACAGCGCCCTCTGTTGTTATGGATTGCCGCCGGCAAACCTTTAGTAATCGTTAGTTTGCCGTCATTACCTCCGGCAAAATATCCACTATCAAAAAGTGACGTCCGAGTACGGAATTTTTTCCGAAATGAATACTTTGATGTACAGGATGTACTAGTAGCTGGAGTTACCCAGCCCTAAATTCTATCATTTATTCATTGGGTTGTCATTTATTTAGGGCTGGGTAACTCCAGCTAATGTACTACTACTGACTACGGGTACTACTACTACATCATACATGTAGAAAAATGATGTACTATTACTAAGTAGGAGGATCGAGGATACGTTACCGAATCATCGAGGGTCCCGATCACATAGTACTTAACATCTTGGAAGATGTTTTCCTTGACCATTTTGACCGTTTTGGCTCTTGTTGTTTCGTCATCATCAGCCATCGCTAGAACTGTCAATCAAACACACACAAAATACGGCAAAAATCCACAATATTCACAACGTACCCACACCCCGGTACGGTAGCATGGGTAGTGTCAGTGAATATCATGTACATGTAAAAGGTTTCCCGCGGCTTTGTTGTGATAATCGTGATCGATCGATTGTAGTCTGGTTTCCAGACCAAAAATTGCCGACTAGTGTTGTGGCTGCGCGCGCTGCATGCGATGGCAACAAGATGACCGTTTTAGCCTATTTTCGGCTAACTTTGACAGAATTTTTGTTAAAAAATGAGTTTGACGGGAAATTTGACAGAATGGATTTTTGGGGCAGATTTCTGGCAGAATTCTGCAAAAATGGTTATTGGACAGAAAAACAGCAAATTTGAACAAAAAAGTGCACATTTGTTTGAAAAAATTTCAAACAAACCCTTGCATAATGGGACAGGTTGGCTGGTCTAGGTGCTGAGGTTCACTGGGAAACGGACTTCGTCATGGCTGGATCCGCATTTTGCCCGAAAGTTTTACCAATAATTTCACAACATCTTCATGTGACTTGATTGTTTATTATGTAATTTGAATCTTAATTAAGGCAATACTACCAATCTGCATGTGATTTTAAGTGTTTATAGTGTATTTCGAGTAATTCTGGGAAATTTGGCAGATTTTTGATGTGCATTTAGCAGAATTTGGCTCTGACCTTACGGTCACCCTGGATGGCGATATGGCGCTGGCGGGAACTTGATTGATCATGAAACACTCCACATGCATGCTCTTTGCAGACTTTGCTTGTAAAGTGAATATGAAATGAGAACCATGGAGAGATTTATGACGCAAATGACATGTTTTGATGATTAAGAGCAAATCCCTCGATTTCAGCAATTATGGATCTGGTTAGGCCTACTGTTCTTATCACTACAGTTTGACACCACCAAGGCATAGCCCCGGCATAAATGTGGCCGATTTACTGGACTACCTCCATGTCCTCCGTAAGGCCACACTTTACCATGTCCATGTACGAAAACATGTCGAACTTAGTCAAATTTTGATTTTCACATTTAGGCTTAGTTTGTAGTTTATTTTTGCTTTAGAAGCGTACTCGCCCTCTTTATAGGCTAATCGGAAGGTGCTGCCTTTTTCAGATGTCTATTTTTCATAAAGTTTCCAGATTTGTTTGCACACGTTTGCGTATCAAAATTTCAACGAAAAATAGACATCTGAAAAAGGCAGCACTTTCTGATTGCCTATAAAGAGGGTGGGTATGCTTCTAAAGCAAAAAATAAACTACAAACTAAGCCTAAATGTGAAAATCAAAATTTGACAAAGTTCGACATGTTTTTGTACATGGTGGAAGTGTGGCCTTTTATTTACGGAGGTAGTCCAGTAAATTGGCCATATGGGGCTATATAAAACCACCAACCATTTTTACGCTCGTTCGGTCATCGGGTCATGCGGTGCGGCAGCATGGAACCCTATTTTTACGTGTTTGAGAAAATTCACCATGATCACGGAGATCACGCGAGGAAGAGGAGTGTCTCCAACATGTTATCGTACCTTGGATGGCAAGGGAAACCCACTGATAACTCACAGAAAAATGTTACCAAACTTGAAAAAGTACATGAGCGCTCTGCAGCCAGATTTGTTTGCAGCGAGCGACTGTAGCAGGCATAGCAGTGTGACATCAATGCTTGATGAAATGCAACATTTGGCAGACTCTCCAAAACAGGAGGAAAGCAGCCAGACTCACCAACTTCTACAAAATCAGAAATGGTGAGCTATGTGTTACTGCGGCAGACAGGTGATTGACAACAACAACTATAGAGCACTCGCTTACATTCGGCAAGATACAAGCATCTCAACTCAAGAACTGAGATAGGCTAATACAAGAACTTGTCTTTTCCCAAAACAATCGTTGACTGGAATGCCCTGCCCCCCGCTGTCATCAAAGCACCTTCTACACCATCCTTCAAAGAAAGACTTAAAAGGCAAATGAGCCAGCATGCGGAACTGACCCTCAACCCCATTGGCGTGATGATACTCCAGAGGAGGCATTGCCAATTGATTATCCAGATCCAGAACTCTACAACAAGATTATCACTCAAGCCATTGACATCGATGCTTCGGACTACCGACTGCAACATATTATCTTCAGCCAAAAATGCAGAGATCCATGAGGGGGAACAACCAGTTTGACATACCATGCATACCATGCCCCGACCTACTTCAATTTTACAAACATCCTCAACTGCATTCAAGGACTCTTTTTTCCCCCAAGGGGGGAATGACCTGCCCTACCAACACTCTGTGAGTGTGTTGCACAAGACCTTCAGAGAAAATTAACCACATCGTGACTGCGACTTAGAAGCTGACACCTCCCCGTGACCTAGTCAAGATCCCAAGACATGCTAGAGGATGTTTCAGGAGGAAACCAACCAAGTAAGTAGTATTATTATTGCAGTCCAAGAATGGTTACACAATGGTTTTTACATACATGTAGCTGTAGTAATACCTCAGCCCTATATATACTATAGACATTGAGTAGTAGGGATAGTGGGGTTACCAGATCAAAATGGAAAATCTGTGGCAAGCCTGAACACGTCGCTCTCGTTTCTAAAAATCCCCCGAGGCAAATTTTTAAAAAATCTGACGTCGGGTACCGGATCAAAATCCTTACTCTCCCCCACTTATAAACAGCGCCTCTAAAAAATTTCCTTTTGTGAATATTAACCAGCAACCATGGATAAACGCTTTATAGAGACCGATAGCTATACTGGCTCCCGCGGGGAGCCACTTAAATGTTTTAACCTAACGTCAATGCTTTGTGTAAGGTTGAGTGATAAACGTTCAGTCATAGAAAGCCTTAAAAAGATACGATGACCGCTACAATAAAGGTGGGGCTGAGGGTGACACCCTAAGAGGAAAGGTATAACTCGGTGGATCGCCTTCATAATGTTTATTTACTGAGAATTCGAACTTGTAAGTTTTTCGATAAGAGATTTTTTTTCCTTTGCCAGCCGTTCGTCTACCCGTTTTTTAACTTCTTTTTCAAAGTCTAAATCGCTTTTTATTTTTTGAAGCTTTGTGCTGGTCTTTGTTCTAATTTTCTGCTTAAGCTCGTTAAATTTTGTGAGCTCTCTCGTAATCAATATAAACTCTTCGTGCGATATATCTCCGTCGTTGATGGCTTGAGACACATATTCTTCAATCGTGTTAAGTTTGGAGTCTGCTAATATTTTAATCTGGTCGTGCTTTTTCAGCTTGGTGGATAATCGCTTAGACGTGATTCTAAGCAGAATATCTACACCAAAAGTGCCTATAAACGTTCCTTCTAGCACCAATCCAACGGGGGCTGATATAACACCCAAGAGAGCGGGAATACTGACAGCCCCCGCTATAGCCCCCAATCCTTCTAATCCTAGCTCTACGTAATTAATAGTGTCGATAACTCTCTTTATTTTTTTATAAGTGCGCTCTCTGTGGTCTCTCTCTTTCAAGATTAAAGATCGAATCTCTTCAATCTTTTTAAGTCTGTACACTTTTGTTTCTTCGTTACTATTTAATCGGAGTACATCTCCAGAAATATCGGGGTATAACGCCTTATTATCTATACTCATGTTTTTAATATAAAACGATTTTAAAATTAAAAGATCTCCAACTCTATCATTATACTCACACCCTTGTTGTTGATGATCTGTCCTTTTTCACCTATGATTGAAAATGTCAGTTTGTCGATTATACCGTTTTTAAGTTTCTTGAAATCCTCGACTCTATCAGGCTCGGGTTCGCGCGTACCCACGGGTACAATTTTTAAGATATCAGAAGGATGACCATTAAAAAAGTTTTCACTCGTACTTAATTGCGGGCAGCGAATAAACAAAAGTTTAAACGGATTAATTTTGTAAGACCCCGCATAAACCACTTTAGGTATCAGTTTTCCTTTGGGTAAATTGAGTAATCGAGAGACTTCTCTGTTTAAACGCAACTTGAGATTCACGTCGGTTACCACCAACGTCACCTTTTTAGATTCTCTAAATATTCGAAAACTTACCCCGGGTATATAATTTAAAATGAAATCGAACCATTCAACGTCGTACCACCCCGGGGGTATGGTGACCAAACCGGTGACTCCAGCTGGTAACGGCGCTAAAAGACTCGGAGAAATAAAATCTAAATTATCACCAGACACGATAAGACTCCCCCGTATTGTTACCCCAGCTTGTCTAATTAGTCTAACCATAGGTTTGCTTATTGTACCTTCGATATATTCTAGCGCTATCTTTTTACCTTCACCGATGAAGCCTTTTCTTTCAGATAAAGTTGTTATTAAAAATACAATCGTATTGGGTTGTACGTCGGTTAGTGTTCTTTCTTGTCTTTTATTGTTTAAATTTTCTTGTAATCTCCCTATTTGTCCCACTTCTATTTTAGTCGATACTAAAGCAGAGTCTAGTCTATCTTCTTCGTACGCTTCTATGAGATCGTTTATAACTCTATTGAAAGTATTTTCGTCGTTAATTAAATAGTCGTATGGTATCTCAGGTATCAACGATTCAATAAAATCTCTATCTGATCTTACTGCTATATTTGAGTCAACCTGTTCGTATCTTCTACCATCATCAGGTCTTTCAGCGGGTCTCCCATCTATATTCGTATACCAATCAATCTCCGTGGCGCTGGAAATATTAAAATATCCGGGGTTAAACATCACCCTTTTTACGCGTACAGATTTTTGACCGTGTAGATTATCTACAACGTTTTCTAATTTAAACGTCTGCTCATTTTGAAACAAGTGAAATGAATGCATTTATTTTAAAGTCTTTTTATATTAAAACTGAAACTAATATAATGAGTCAAGCAAAGTTTTTAAACAGCACTAAACCCAGTGAACTAGAGGTCATAGTTAACAATACCAGCGGGTTTTTAAGCTTGTTTCCCGACTTAACCTCGGACTATAAATTGCCTCGCATCACAACGGATGAGGATGTAGATCGTTGGAAATCACACCCCATGTCGTTTTATCAAAATCAGTTAAATTTTGCAATCTACTGCGCTACTACGGGCTGCGGTGTTGGATTTGATCTTTTAAACTCGAGCAACCATTATGTTTGGGCCATCTTTAACTTTCATTTATATTTTACGGTTAGAAAGATCCTGTACGATTTTGCCGCTCCTTTACCGGGAGATGATGCATTTAAAGCTCTAGACAACAGTTATAATCACAGAGCATTTACCGATACCTGTTTGTTGTTTAGCATAGATCAAAACAAGTCTTTTAAACAGACGAGAGACACAAATTCTAACGATTTAGGTACAGCATATTACTGGGACATGTCTTACGTACCCGTACCTGGAAACGATTATGATACAACCGACCTTAATATCAAGTATAGTCAATATCGTAAAAATATGATGGGTGGAACCAAAATGGGGTTTGGTTTGGAAGATCCACCCAAGGGTTTGGGGCGTGACAGCGATTACACCGTAGCCTTTATCGAACAAAATGAATCGGTACAAAAGGCTTGGTTAGATTTTATACCCGACACGAGTTCGTTTACCCCCGCGGGAATCATAAAGATCAACAAATCGATCAGATCTTATACCTGTTTGTTGTTTAGCATAGATCAAAACAAGTCTTTTAAACAGACGAGAGACACAAATTCTAACGATTTAGGTACAGCATATTACTGGGACATGTCTTACGTACCCGTACCTGGAAACGATTATGATACAACCGACCTTAATATCAAGTATAGTCAATATCGTAAAAATATGATGGGTGGAACCAAAATGGGGTTTGGTTTGGAAGATCCACCCAAGGGTTTGGGGCGTGACAGTGATTACACCGTAGCCTTTATCGAACAAAATGAATCGGTACAAAAGGCTTGGTTAGATTTTATACCCGACACGAGTTCGTTTACCCCCGCGGGAATCATAAAGATCAACAAATCGATCAGATCTTATGTGTACGCTTTACTCGGTGCGCAGGCTCAAACAAAAACGAGCGTATTAACACCAGGTACCGGATTAGACGCTCAGAGACAATTTAACGTCATCGTTGAAGATATCATCAATGCAGTAGACGACATGGAAATGAGTATCAATCAATTTCAAGACTCTTTGCAGTATGCCAGAACGCCTTTAAATTTTGTCGTGAAACCGGGGTTGTATTTCATTCCATCGGATATGAACTTGAGGGTTGGAACGCACGACGGCTATAACAACAATCTTCAAATCGCTACCCAGAGTATGAAAACCACCAACACCCCCAGAGCCTATGATGAACGATGTTGTATCACCAGCACCTACACCCTCACCAACACCAGCATCAGCACCAGCACCAGCACCTACAGTTTTAACCCAGGAGCCCACGAAACTACAAACTCACCAAAACGAAAAATTATCGTTGACGGTAGGAATATTAGCTATCGTTGGTATGGGTATTTTGGCTTACGAGGCACACATTTTGGCTGATAAGTCACACTCTAAGCTCACAAAAAAATAAGCCTTACCAACTTTGTGCTGGTAAGGCTTATTTTTTTGTTTAAACTTGATTACAACTATAACTACCATCGTTTTTGCAGGTACGCAAACACAAAGGCTCCCACACCCAAAAACAAAGCCCACACGTGTTCGGCCAACCACGATACGGACTTACTCAATTTATCGTTTAACTCTCGTCGACCCTCTTTTTG